AGGGGGTGGGGGGTGGAGTTTCTAACAGCAATATTTCTTTCAATGACCCATTTTTGATGGGTCATGGTATCACACACCAAGCTTTTATATTACCAACAGGTACTGTTTTAACTCAAAAAAAAAAAAAAAGTCTTCAGAATGCCTTAGAAGAATAACTTAGAGCATATTGGAGAGAGAGGACTTGGATTTGAATCTGAAATCAATTCCATGTCATTTGATGAAGTCGACTGTTTTTTAGTGGGGGTTGGGGGTGAGATCCCTTCCACCTTAAATGGTGAGATCCCTTCCACCACTGAGATACCAAAGACAATTCTTCTGTCCCAAAGCAGGATAATTCATGCATTCACATATGGGGGTGATAGGGGAGGGTAGGTGGCAGACAAGAGAGACTAATTGAAATACTGTTTCAATTAGTTTAAATTCATAGAAAGCTGCAGTAGGGGGGAGGAGTAGATTCCTGATCACCTTTGGAGTAAGCTGCCTCTTGTGCATGAAGCTTAGTAATATACAAGAGCCTCTCCAGACTGCTGGCTAAAAAAGACATTTATAGTTTGATATAAATAAACTAATATTGTTTTCTTAAAATGTGTGCCAAGCATTGTTGAAGAGGAGAGGAAGCCAATAGTTAAAATCCTCTGAAAGTAATGGTACATATAAGAAGGTTTGAGGAACACCCTGCGCAAATATAAAGAAAAGTATAAAGGTAAGATATAGTTGAAGTGCACTAGGAAGCTGCTCAAATAGACTTGATGTTTTTGAGGGTGAGTCACTAGTATTCATATTGAATGCATTCAGGGATGTCCAGTTTGTCCCTTCTGCCTTCATCCTGTCACTCTTTCCTGTGCGCTGTAGTTTTATATTCATCTGCCGGTGCGGGCAGGGGCATTGTTGCTGTGGGTAAAGGTCCTGGTAGAGAAATAAGATGTACGATTATTTTTCTCTCTAGGGATAGTCCTTTGGTCATCAATCAATGTATTTCCCCCGTATGCACAGTCATAACATTCCATTTTATTGATTAAAAAAAATCAGATATAAATAGAAAAGGCTATCAGTTCATAGAACAACCTGGATGAAACTTAAATGCATTATGCTAAGTGAAAGATAACAGGCCAAAGGCTCCACTCATACGATATTCTGAAAGAGGTAAAACTAAAAGAACAGAAAATAGATCAGTGGTACCAGGAACTGGGGAGGGGGTTGCAACTAGGAAGATGAAGAATGTGGGGTGTGAAACTAATCTGCATGGCAAAGAAATAGTGAATGCATGATCCTGTGCATTTGTTAATACTCACAGAACTTTCCACACAACGAGTGAACTAATATATTTAGTTTTCTTTTAAAAAGTCAACCAGATCAGAGGATCCTAGGATGGAATGCAGACTGTGACAAAAGAATATATAAGTACCTTCATTGAAGGAAGGTGCAGGAAAAAATGATACTAACCTAAGAAATATGGAAAACTATTTGAAAGAAGACGAACAGTAAACTCCCAAAGAACTGTCCATAAGCAGTGTGCTCTTGTTGGCACAGTTGTTTCCCCTTGTGATCTGGGTTGATAATTCTGAAGTTGCTGTACCTATAAATATACTGGGACTGAATAAGGAAACAAATGACAGATGGTGGTATGCAGGGTTTTAGGTGTTAGAGAGCATTTTAAATAAGGGGGGGAAGCTAGAAAAGCCATGTCATACTAGGTTAAATTCAGAGACATTAGTATGAATCCATGTTTAGCACAACATAGACACAGAGGGACACATGTAAGTATAGATGTGTGGCTCTGTCTGGTCGCAGAGAGGAACTGGAAGCAGTGACCCTTCCGCAGTAGCAATGCACATACCCAGCGCCCAGATATTAGTTCTGAATACCTTTATCCAATAAAAGGAATTTGGGTTTCTTAGAGAAATGACTGACTTTAGGGCAGGAGTAGGGAAGACGCAAATACATGAACCTGGAGCATGTTGTCACCCCAGAAAGTAAATGCTCAGAAAATAAATGCATGGGGATTTGTCAAAAGGTCACCCCCCTAAACGTGAAAGAACTCTCATAACCCAAACTGGAACAATTTGAACAATAAAACAAGTACTGTGGTCCTGGATTGTAAGCCGTTGCATAAAATGTCTGTGATCCATCCCCCCGATATAAATAAATGATTGAATGAAAAATTGAAAGAGGAGGCATGTGTCAGGTACAGAAAAATTCCAAATGCTTATGTAGACCCCTCCTCTCAGGGAAGTAGAGTGACTCCCCACCCCTCGAATATGTACTTAATGACTTAGGACCAAAAAGTGCAGGGTAGGAAGCAGGTAGGGAGAGGAGACACCTGGCAAACTTTCCCTCAGTCGGTGACAGCGTCAACATCAGCAGTGATAAGCATGCTGAGAAGGACACCCTGGCGGTGGTGTGAGGTGCCTTCTTGCTCTTTGGGCTTCTTCGTCCAATTAGTAACCACTTTAACACTGAGAAAAAACTCAAAACACACCCAGTTAAGGGCCAGTTTGGAAAATACCCGAGCAGCGCTCCTTAAAGAACTAGCAGACTTCCAAACAAGGAAAGCCTAAGAAACATTCACAGACTAGAGGAGCCTGAGGAAGCGTGACAGATTTGTGCACCCTCACAAACACAGCGAGCCTGGAACCCTAGGCTTCCCCCTTGGAAGCTGCGGAAATATGGGGGCCAGTTAACAGTGATGCAAGATGTTAAGATAGAGGGAACACAGTAACATGGAAGGGGAGATATATGGGTTCTGGATATTCTCTTTCCAACTTGTTTGTCGATCTGAAACAATTCCAAAAAAAAAGGTTAATTTTAAACTTAAAAAAAAATTTTTTTTTGTATTTATGTATGTGTACAGGAACTGGGGTATAGGCCAGAGACAGAGTGGAGAGCAGAACAGATCTACTGAGATACACTGTTGAGGGGAGCAGGGTGGCAAGACAGGAGAAGTCTTCTGCACCATGTGGGTCAGCTCCCTGCCTGGGGATTGAACTCAGGTGTCAGTAGCTGGGCCTAGCTTGGTGGTGCTGAGACTTACCCCCTGCACCAATAGGGAGGCCCCGATAAAAGGTTTATTTTAAAGAAAAGCTTATAGGCCATCAGCAGTAGTCCAGGGTGATTGGCAAGAAATGTGGGGGAGACAAGACTTGTCTTTGACTAGGATAGTTTAAAAAGTACTGATCTATAAAGACAGGCTGCAGGACAACTTTGAATATTTTTCTTCCAGTTTGAAATCTCCTGTACTAACTGAGGTTTTAAACTCCTTGAGACTTGCTCAAAGATATTTTTCTCTTAAAATCCTGGAAGTCTGAAGTCACAACACCTTCTTTGTTCTTTCATCCACCCCCTTCATATTTTGCCGCAAATCTTGTCATTGTCAAGGTGCAGCTGGCTTTGTAAGTGATTTGTGATTTCTTTCTGTTCCTGATACTGCGATGTTATTTAGGCCTATTAAAGGGAACATGAGGGCTTGGTAATTTGTCATTGAGATTCAGGTACAGACATCTCAATACCAAGTCACCCCAAATTCAGCTGTGATGCTGCACAAGGGGGGTGGTCAGAACGAGCACTGTATTTATGCACTCGGTAAGACTATCACAGTTGATCACAAACCAAATCCCACAAGAAGTCTTCGTGCTGTTCCCTCTTTCCAGTTCAGAAATTTCTTTCCTCTTCTATAAAATCTGATAGCTTCAATTATGTGTCTTCCATAGAAGGGTGGGAAAAAATGTACACCCACTTCCAGATATGTTCATATTTAAGTGACATTGTCAACTGGCTTTGAAAATCATCTGAATAATGAGTGTAAAAATTGCAGACTGTTAAAATGATCATCAACAACTTATTACTAAATGGTTAGGAATTATTTAAGTAGAGGAAGAGGAAACAGAGATTTTCCATAAATCTTCTACTGATTTTCTACTGATAGTAGATTAAGACAAAGACCGTATTGCATTCTAAATGGTTTTTGGATGCTTAAGGAATGTTCAATCTCTCTATTGAGACAGAAAAATTTGCAATTTGACATGATTGTTTAGTATTTGATTTATTTCACCACAGAAAGCAATCAACGATTTTTTTTTTCTTAATCTTTTTTTTTAAGGAAATGTTCTGGGGTCTGTTTTCCTCTGTGGCTGAAATTGGGTGGCTTGGGAGTGGGGTTCCTCCACCCAGTTCAAAGCATGGAAATGCTTTCTTTCAACAGTACTACCTTTATTATTCCAGACAATCGTTAGAGGAAACAAGCCCTGTAAGGAGACCTCCATCAATGGCCTGCTGGAGGATTTCGACAACATCTCTGTGACCCGATCCAACTCCCTGAGGAAAGAAAGCCCGCCCACCCCCGACCAGGGCGCCTCAGGGCGGGGTCAAGGCCACCGCGAGGAGAATGGCTTTGTCACCTTCTCCCAGTATTCCAGCGAGTCCGATACCACTGCTGACTACACCACTGAGAAGTACAGAGAGAAGAGTCTCTATGGAGACGAGCTGGATCCCTACTACAAAGGCGGCCATGCCGCCAAGCAGAACGGGCACGTGGTGAAAATGAAGCACGGGGAGGCCTACTATTCTGAGATGAAGCCGTTGAAATCCGATTTTGCCAGATTTCCCG